TCATTTTTATCAGCAGAAAAGAATATTTGAACTTTTACAGTAACAAAATTTGTTTGAAATAGCCATTTGCAGCTCAAAGATTTAATACCAGACTACTAAATCAGATGATGTGGTCTGAACAACTGCACTGTGTCATCAGAGTTCCCTAACGAAAACTGTCATGGCTCCAGGGGATGTCAGGGATGTCCCATCGTACCTTCTGTCCACAGCAGTCAAAGGAGGTCATATTCTCTCAGAATAGCTCACGCACCTCAAAATCCCTCCACATTTGACTTCCCCTTCTCTACTAATCTGACTTGTGGGAAAGGAATATATTCCCTTAGTAACAACATGACTCTTGCAATTGTCAAAGGGCATTTTTATGGATCATACATTTTATAGCATTTAAGACATGTTTTGCTTTTCATTTGTACCCTTTTGCCAGGATATTCCAACTCAGCACCAAATAACCTTCAAAGAGAGCCACCAGGAAGCTGATATTTTAGGTTAGAATTTGTCTCAAGAGAGACATGGCCAAAAGTGGTCATGAGCAAAGCCAAACTCTCTAACATGATAGGCTACAACAGAAAAAGCACCAGAGCAAGAACAAGTTATTTTAACATGGTAGGCCTCTGTCAAAAGCTGCAGAAGGGTGAGGCAATGGCTCTGTGAAGTACAAACCCAAGAGCTAGCAAAAGATTTCATCATGCAAAACACTTAACTGTGATATTTACAAATCACATATGATTTACATATACTAAATATCTTTCCCCCCCATAACCACATTTTATACTACTTACCAATGCTTGACAGCTATTGCAAAGCAGTATGCAGTTATCAAGTTTCAATTATACCATAAAATTTTGCATAAAAAAGGATGCTTTTCTACAGTCTTCAAAAATTTCTGTATGCTAGCCCAAATACTGTCCATTTTATTTTTAAAAGCTGTATCAGTGCCTCTAAAATAGACAGTTGATAATGTAAACTATTACAAAGATGTGTTTAAACAGTTTCTGTAGCCCTCACTTTAAAAATAATGAGACCAAACATCAGGAACAAAGTGATTCAAGCAGGCTTGATGGCAACTCCCTTCATCTAGGGGAACACAGCAGCTTAGCACAGCTTCCTTGGTCCACTGACCAGAGAAACGCAGAAACTATAACTAAGTCTTAGCACACTTCATATCACATGTCAGTTTTTAAATCAGTTTTTTCAGTTTCTAATAACAACAAGAATTGCTATAAATTTCAGGTAGTATCTTAATTGGTTGTGAAACACTATTCTGTAAGCATCTGTATAAGATTTTAAACACACGTTTAGGCTAATCTCAATTATCTGTAATGTTTTCATGTAAATCTAAAAATTAATCAACTAATCGTTTAATAGTATACTTTACTGAACAATTCACTGTGCAGCAGTGGTCAGTAAAATCCCACTCTAAAATCTACAATGCTTTAAATGAAGGTTAAAGACATTCTAGACATTCTCAGTTCTATAATCACTTAATTTTCTAAATTTCTTTTTCTACTTGCCAGTTTGACAGTATTTCAAAAGAGGTTATCACTACTCAGATGAAACATCAGAATTGTCTACATTGGGTTTAATTTGCAGAATCCATAATTCCCAGAAAGCTATTAGCATGCTGTCAAGATGACAGTACAGTTGCTGGTTTCATAGCTGTCTTTTATCTGTATTATTCGTTTGAAAGGAATTCCCAAGCATCAGATAACTGAGTTACTCCATAGCTTATTGACCTTCTCCTTCCAAGAAACAGACTACTGGATATGAATCAGTGTTATTAAAATTCGCATTATAAGATTATTAAGCCTGTGTTATTTAAATCATAACACTTAGTTCTACTAAAAAGATGAACTGAATGCAAAATAAGTCTACAAGTAAAATAAAAATTATGGTGATACTCATCATAAAATAGTTTTATTGCGGGATTGCCAAAGATTTTTTGGCCTAGACTCTCAGAAGGGATATATATTAACAAAAACAAACAAACAAACAAGAAAACCCACCCCCAAAAACCCCAAGCCCCAATAACTTGAAGATTTCCTCAGGACTCAAAACTTTCACAGCCTATCCTCAGTTGTCACTCACGCAACTATACATACATGAAAATCCACAAGCAACTTTGATTTTCTTTAGTGTACGTAATATGCATCTTATTTAATTTAGATACTGGTAGTTTGGAATGCACCATTCTAGTGGCAAAACACCAGGACAGTTTAATTTCCAAAGCCTCAGCACCAGGGGAACAGATTAAACTCTTTCCACTAGTCCACTCAGGTTGTTCATTCTCCACAAAGCATCCGACTTTTGAACAAAAACAGAAAAAACATACTATACTCCATGAAAGAATTAATAACCATCTTTAGCACAAAATCTAGGTCAGTTCTAATTATACCTTACTGTAATGGAAGTTTCAGCTACTCCCTGCACATATTTTTAAATATCTCAAAAGAAATATATAAAGAAACAGAGTTGGAATGAAAGTGCACAGAAATACTAATCCCGGAGACTTTAATGTGGTTGCCGGGCTTTGTGTGTAAATACGTATGTATATGTAGGTGTAAAAAAACCCTCAGGTATGAAGAATATGAGCAGAACAATGATGACACCTTTAGTACTCCAGCTAGGCAGTTCTAAGCAGTCAAGAGATATTTGTCATTGATGTATGCCATTATGTATGCTTTCCCATCACTTTGCTTGAAGATGAACAAATAAGTACACTAGCAGAAATTTCAACACCTCTTTACTTCTGCTGATTTTATCTAGGACCCTTTATAAACACATCCCTGAAATTTCCCAGTATTTTCCCTTGAGAGTTCAATTCTTCCACAAACGCCAGTAACTTCTGTGACTGAGTACTTTCAGCTATTCCTTCTCAAACAGTGATACATTGTCTTCTGGTGAAGAATAATTGCATGCTCAAAAAAATAATCTATATTGGTGAGGTTTCTTGAACACTTTGCAATATCAAAACCAGGATGGCCTCCATATCCAACAAGTATTTGGTACTTCTACTAGTTTTTCTACTTGACAAACAGTTGGACGTGTGTCTGGGAAAAGGCCATGACACCGAAGACAAACTGGTGGTGTGTAGGTGCCTGGAAAAGGGGGAAGCAGCATCTATCAACTCTGATGATGGAACTTCTATTTGTTGACCTCCACTCTGTCCACCAGAAGTCCTGGTGCTTTTCTTCCCATGTCAGATCTAAACACTGTTACCTCTTAGATTGCACTATTTCTGTAGCCATTGATGACAGTCATTGGTTTTCCTTTAAAATACATGGTCTAGGTTGTTCCTATGGAATTTCTGTCCAGGTCAGCAGATTATTTGCATCAGGAACACATCAGCTCTTTGTCATATGCATCATCTCAGCTACAGCTTGCAGATATGTGCTATATTTATTCAAGTTATAATCTACTTAATGGTGCTTTTGACTACTCTCTCTCTATTACTCAGTGGTTCAGACCATCACAATAAGCTGATAAAATTTGGTTTTATGATAACATTTCACATATTCACCCTCAAAAAAACAATATTTCCTCCTAAGTTGGCAGTCCAACACTTGCAAAATTCAAGACTAGCACTAAGACATCTGGCAATAGATTTCCCCCACTTATTAACTATATTCGCACAGCAGAGACTGTTTTTATTTCTTTCCTTTCTCAAATCTTCCAATAGGAAACACAAGTCCTCACTTATTTCAAGCCTCCTCATACAGAAGTAGTAATATGGTATAGCTGGCATTATGAATCTTACTAAGTTTGTTGTGACAGTCACCAGGCTTTAAAATGAGGGAGTTATTAATATTCACAGTAATAAAACCATATACTGTAATCTCCAGAAAAGTAGTTTGCTCTTGTTCAAATATATTCTGTGGAATTGTTTAATTCATAGAATCAATTTCTAGCTAGATGTTGCTGAGCACTGCAATGATACACTGTGAAGCTGGGCCTTGCTTCATTCTTTTTTAACTCTCCAGCTATCACTTTGCAGTCCAGAACACAGCAAAAAACCCTAAGTCACCATACTCCATTGTTGAGAAATAAAAGATTGCAGAGTCCAGAGTTATAAGGGAATGGCATGGAAGGAAGGCTGCCTCCAATCCTGCACTCCACCCTTCTCCAGCTTAACAGGATCCTCCTACAAGTAAAGGGGCACATCTACTGTTTAATCTGCTTGAAAGCAGAGATCTTTAGCAGGGTTTATCAATTGACAGTGAAAGTGTTTTTATTATAACTAAAGAAAAACAATATTCACCATATTCTTGAGAGATAGGTCATCCAAACCCACAGTTAAATTTCTAAGGACTTCTAAGATCATGATTAAATACCAGTATCAAAGGAGAGCTCACCAGAAGTGGAAAGGATTGGTCCTCATTAAGACTCTATTTTGCTGTTTCTATTAAAACCATGCTTTAAGGCAACTTTAAAGAATCCTATGCCCATATAGTTCCCTTTCAGTTTGTATTCTTTTTGAAAATTTGAGTAATTAGTCAAAAAAATTATAGTGACAGTAATCAATACACATCAACAGGCATCATTCAAGTTATTGCTTAAATAACCATTCTAAGCCAACATAGAACTTCCACAGTTGTATTAAATTTTGAAAATACTAATCAAAGAGAAAGTTTGGTATTCATCAGTGCAGTTACTGTTGGTATATACTCTGCTAAACAAATTTTAAAAATTGATTTTTTTGTGCACATGTAGATATGCATGTGCCTACATATGTGTATGTATTTATACACACACACACACTCAAGAGCGTTACTCGCTCTTCCTTAACCTGGAGCAAGTGGTGAAAAGCTCTAAAGGCAGCTCAGATAAATTAACAAGTACGTGCACTTCATTAATAATAATGATGAAGAAACTTCTGGTTTAGCCTCAAATACACTAGAATAAGTTGGTACCTTAAATTTTAACATTAAATATTATCAAAGTAAGTCAACCACAGTAGAACTACAATGACCAATACCTTAAAAAAAACCCAAGTACATACATACCTTCACTACAAAAGGGTCTTTTGATACCAGAGAAATTCACCGTCTCATGCAGCGTTTTCTCTTCTTGGCAGTATTCACAGTATGTAACTATGCAGTGCAGTTTCTTATAATCATCAGAACATGCTCTGCTGCAGAACTGATACACTTTGTTCTAAATGCAAAGTTGCAAAGCACCATGAATAGGGTTAATGGATAAAATCTTAAGGTCTGGATAGTGCAGTTTTAAATAATAGTTGCCATTAAGACACAGCTTGCAAAGTAAACAGAAGTGCGAACACACAATGACTTCTAATGCTAAACATTAACAAATTCCAATGAAGCTAATAGTGAGTGCTACAAATACTCTTTATTTCACGTGAAAATATTGAACGGAAAATATGCCAATCAATCTTAGCATACCCTCTTCAGATACTTCTCTCAGTTCATAGAGAAGTGCAAAAACTGAAGATGAAAGCAGATTTCAGACTTACAGCTGACCTGAGAAATTACATTTTTCTTTAAATTCCACAGATACTATATATGAACAAAGACTTCTGCTTTTATCCATACTGAAGTTAAATGATATTCTACAGAACTAGGTAGATTTTAACTGAACTTTTTAAGCTTCAATACCTTATAAAATATCTATCTAGAAAAATTGTACTGGAGCTCAAAGTCTAAACTTTTTAACACTTCATCATTGTCATAATAATACCAAAAAACCCCTTACCTCCCATTCCAGTACTTCTGGTTTTGAACAAAAAGAACTTTTGCAATAATTACATTTCAACTGAATATCACCGGGAGAGACAAACTGACCATTTGTTGAAGACTGCACACTGAGAGTCTGAAAAACATAAATATATATACACACATCACTAAAAAGAAAGTTACTTCTAAAATGGTGGGTTTTCTCAATTAAGCTTATAGTGTTCGAGAATTTGGGAGTTTATAAATAAACTCAGGAGCATTATGGCAAAAGCATAGCAGGTTAGTCTTTTACCTTAATTCCTTTTCTGTTGTCATCTTAGGTTTTCCAATTTTGAATCTCTACCCTTGCTTCCACCATAATTACTTTAACTCATGTTTCTTTACCTTACCTTTCTAATATCTATTATTTAAGGGTAAATAAATTTTTATAAAAATGAAAAAAAGTCTCCACAAACTGAACACTCGTTAATCACAAAACACATCTTTTCAGATAAATACACTTCACAGCTTGCATCATTTTGGTCACAGAAGCTCAGATAAAGATCCAAAACAAAATATTTTCAAATCCAAACGTCACCAAGGCAGATTATCAATATCTTACTGAAGCATACCACTTGAAAACACAAATATTAAAGGTTTTCATTGAGAAACATCTACTTAGATTAAGAGAAAACCACTTAACAGTCCTAGCTAGCCTCAATCACCACGGCAGGAAGATGCAATTATTAAATTTTTATACAGTTATTCAAACAATCCAGGCTTTTAAGATTGAGAAAAATACTACAGATTGCATGTACAGGTATGAGAATTTAATTCTGTAAACTGAGCAATTTCTTTAATGCATTTCAGAAGCAATCAGTAGATAAGAGAACTCAATTATACAGTACCAGTATCTTCCAAGTAGGTCTTATGTGCATACAGAACAGTCTTTTTGCACATTCCCTGATCAAGCAAGAACTACTGGTGTATTACACATGCCATGTTCAAGAGAAAAAATCTGAATCAGTAGCAATCACAGACACTTGAAGAATCCAGAGGAAACATTTCTTACATCTGTCTTCTCAAGAAACTTTCCCACACTGTTTGCTACAAGACAAATATATTTAAAGGCAAGTTCTCTTCAGACAGATTTGTTACTACCTCTCCACCCTGTAACAGTGAAAATTCAAAACTTTTCTGCTACAGGATACTTTTCTTCAGACTCTCATGTTAGTAAGGGTTTACCTACACTAAAAAATAAAGGAAAAATTGCCATGAGACTTATTACTGATATAAACCCTGACATAGGTGGCACTGCTATGTGCTAGTTAGCAGTACCAGCAATATCATTTTATGCAGATGCATTAATTCTGTGTCAGGAGTTTGCAGACATGAAGTAGTCAGGCACATTTCCCAATCACAGGCAAGACCTGAGAACCAAATGCCACACAGAAGAAAAGATGACACCTTTATCCCAATGGCCCACTGGCCCTTAACAACTTTAACAGAGATGCACACACACGGTATTGCCATACTTTTCCCATTATATCCAGCAAATGACCCTGTGGTTGAGTGAGGTTTGCTACACTTTGGCTGCTCTAAATAAGGTGCTGAAGACTTGCACTAACATGGGAGCCACAAAGGTCCAACCTGTGCCCTTCTGTATTTGCAGGTTTCTTCACAGAGCAAACACCATGCTCAACACAGGCTGCCATATGGGTCATGTAAGCACCATAGAAATCCTAGGAGCTCTAGCTGAAAACTAAAAGCAAGTATGCCCACCACCTCCAGTTCAGGAATGAAGAAAATGTAAATAACTAGCAGATGTGGCAACTTGTACAGAAACACTGAAGATAGAGGGAGGAATGAAGATGAAATCCTGCTTATAATTAAGGACTGCTTCTATATAACATTTTAATGAGTCAAGATGACATGGCATACAGTATTTTCATCATCTTGTCTTTCCTTTAACTTACAAGATATTTACAGTATCTTTAGAAATTATTTGGGAGTATTATTACACACAGAGAATAACACAGCAAAAAAGATCATAAATTCATTAAAAGCTTTCCCAGGTCACCCTGAACAGCAAGGTTTTATCTACGTTGTGCTTGAACAAAGATATCTTTGAAGTCATGTAGATACATTCACTCTTTTGAGAGCCCGTCCTGAACAACGAGAGCATGGGAAGTGCCAAGCAAAGCAAAAAATCATTGTAAAGCCCTTTTCAGACTTCAACGCAACCAACTCAAACTGCTTTAAGTTGCCAAATTACTAATGAATAGTAGGCAGGCACAGCCCAGGACTCTTCTGAGAAGACCACCATAGCAGTACAGCTTCTGGCCTGCCTCTGCCACCACAGCATACATGGCAGAAGGGTTATCCTCGCTCACAGCAACACAAAATCAAATTGTGGAAACATTTCTATACCTAAGTGTACATGTGGAAGAGCTAGTAGGCTGCCAGACTCTGGTTAGTTTTTTTTCTAGTTGAGAAAAAAAAAGTCTTTGAAAGAATCAAGTTGTTCTTAATGTTCCTACATGCAGCACTGAAACTGCAACAGAAGCGTCAGCAAGGTCTCAGTAAGACCGGAAACCCACAACCAGCATTAACTGATCTGGCAGTTATATTCAATAATGTCGTTTAATGCTGACTTATATGCAAATCCAAAAAAGTTTAGGCTGTATTTGGCACTCACTCGTTTTATTTGTTCCAAGAGCTTTTGAGGCCACAATTAATTGTAAGATCATGTACAATAAAACAGATGTTAAATGAGTTTGCAAGAAGTATTACAGATCTGTCGTGACATACTAACAATCTGCAGCTATTCTGTTTATCAGTTCCACTGACAGACATCTACCAAATTGGTTAGGATGGAAACACAGAACATGGCTACATGATGGATATCCTGGATAGGATATATTAAAGAAGCAATTAAAAGACTGATCTGCTGTCCAGTTGACAGAAAACAGAAAAGTTCAATGGGAAATGGGAAAATCATGTGTAGGTGTAACTGTTCAACAACATATGAGGAGGCAATTATCAATCATACAGAGCACATTTGGGAAAACTGTTTTCACAGACAAAAATTGAAACATTTTCTTTACAAATATTCTTTGATCACCTAGAGATGAATCAGTACAACACATTTCCCATATGCTTTAACCTTAAGTCATATTAAAAATATGACATTTTCAATAAGTATTGCAGCATTTTCCAATGTGCCTATCACTGGCCTTGCAGTTTCTGGACATAACTTGAACAGCTAGTTTCATCCATCACCAAAATGGCTTAGGCTCTAACCTTTCATTTCAGAGACAGTCACTCTACCCAATGACAGACCTTTACTAGTATTATATTCAATATGAGAATTCTGTTACCACATTTAGTATAAAAGAGACTAAATTTGTTGATCTTCAATGTAAACTAGCGAGGCTCACCTCTGTGAAGAGGCTGAGGTGATAAAAATAAGTACTGATATTGCTTTGTGTTTTCTTATGATATCAAGGAGAAATTGGTTGTTATTATCTGATTTTATACGTTTAAGACAGCAGCCAGTGTTACCATTATGAAACAGTATTTTAATCAAAGAAATTGTTAGGAGCCAGAATTATCTGCTATGTTAATTATAACTCATAAGCACGTATATACAAGCAAGTTAGTTTAATATGTAACTACTTAACACAGACATAGGCACACAAATATTTAGGGAGGAAAACGTTTAACACAACAGCTAACCTGAAATTTAGCTACACAACTGGAACTGCAAAAGTTGTACAGTTTTCCATCAGGCATTGTGGCTTGATATTGAGGTAAAGAGTTTCGTTTACAAAAGTGGCAAATAATTTCCATACCTAAAAGAAAAACGTAGTTTACAAACAAAATAAACACAAAATAGTCGTGAAAAAAAAAGTATTACCCTTTCCACTATTTCAATACGACTTGTCTGTTTTCCAGTCAGCTTCTAGAAGTCACACAAAACTAAAGATCAGCATTAAATATGAAACTGCACCTCCTTCCATAAAATTCACTAGAGCATTTTCAACTTCAGGTTGAGATCTATGACTGCTTTGCATATTGAAGAATATGTGTTTTGAGTTATCTACCAGTTCCTTTCACCTGGATTAAAAACTTTACCTAGACAATATCAATATGCATGATAACTACTTCCTTCCTTCTCCATCTCTTGGTTGAGGAAAAAAAAAACGGGGTGGGGTTAGATCACATAAAAGAGAATATGAATTCATGAGCACAAAAACTACACTATTATTCTGTGACACATCAGAGCACATTATGTACCAGCATTTTTTCACAGGAGGTCTTAAGACAGTTGAAAATTGTTTTCAACACCAAGAAAAAAGGCTGGTGGGGAAAATGACCCCTCATGGGTCCATTTGCTAGTGTTCAACATAAGATGGTCTTTTTCTCTTTTGTTTTTAAAGAAGTTAAAAACCCCTATGAAGTCACATCTGCATAGACTAAGCGTAAAATAAAACCACCCACCCCCAGTCTTCAAACTTTAAAAAAAAGTCTACTCTTAGCAGTGATGAAAATCCACCATCCTTTTCACTTACTTTGTGATTTTGCATATTTTGATTTGTGTGTGTTCATGCATACAGTTGAGCAGTATGGCTCCATATATCCATTAGGTCCTATGCACTGAGTCATGTCAAAAAACCTGCACTGAGCTCTGCAGCCAGTACAAGATGTTAATTTGCCACATTTCTAAAACACAAAACAAAGTAAAACAATGCATTAGTTAAAACTACGCTTGGCTTTTGACTTTAAATTATGGTCTTAAAAAACAAAAAACAAACACAGAAAACTTATTTCTGCAACCTGCTCTTCCATCAAACCCTTCCTATAATCAACCACCTCTCATAATCACCCTCTTAAGAGCATTTGGCACTATGGTTGGGTCTCTTACTCCTAGGGAAAAACCAGCTAAAACTATTCTGTGTAAAGACAAAACACACATACACACACACCCCCTTCAAAAAAATCAAACCAACCAAAGTATCCCAACTCATTCCAAATCCAATCTGTGAACTGTGATAAGAGTATACAGCAAGTTGTGCTGAGTTGGAGAGTCTGAAAGAACTCTGTTCCTCTCTCCTTTCTGATACGACAATGGTTGTTAGGAAAGAAACAGGAATCTGGCATGGCAAATATGATTCACAGAATGGGTAAGGTTAGAAGTGACCTTTGGTCCAACCTCCCTGCTCAAGCAGGGTCTTCCTAAGGCACATTGCATAGGATTGCATCATGATGGTTCATGAATATTTCCAGTGAGGGAGACTCCACAACCTTTCTGGGCAATCTGTTCCATTGCATAGTCACCCGTATAGTAAAGAAGTTATGAAGAATAAATAATGGTCCTAAACTTTGGAAAGAAAGTATTTGTACTCTCCAGTCCTCCAGGCAGGAGGAACACATTGCAGAGTTTCTTGTTCCTTATTGAAGTCAATGAGGAACTGTGATCTAGTAACAGACTCAATTTTGACATCTCTCAACACAGCAGTCAGTCCATCAAGTTTTCCACAGAACGGAACAAATGTTCTATAAAAAGCACAGAAAAGCTGCACCAAGCAGAAATACTAATGACGCAGTCAACACACAAAATCAATAGTTCTGATGTGCTACATGTATTACATGTCAGTGGTAGGCAAGTATCTCAAGCACCATAAACCAAGTTTCAGAAAAAAATATCTAGACACCTTCCCTGCCCATACAAATAGTATCATGTTTTTGATAGTGATCACAGAAAATTCCTCATTTCAGTAGTGATGAGCCTCCTATCAGACAGGTTCTTGCCTTAATGAGCACTAGAAAAGACTTAGGTCCTGCCTTCTGTTGAGAAAATTTGGCATTACCTCTTCTTCTTTCCCTATTCTCAAGGACTGAAGGGGGAAGGAAAGGCAAAGTATGTTTCACAGGTGCTTCACTTTGACCAGATAAGAGAAGCTTCAGAGGATATCTTTGCTCTTCCTATCTTTAACTACCTACGTTTGAGAACTAGCTAAATCCAGTCTTACAGACTGCAAGTTCTATAACGTTATCTTCCCTATAACAAGATCATGCAGACAAAAACATACAAATACACATGCCTGTACCACAAACTGGATGTAGCATCTTGCAGAGAACAGCAAAATTTCCACATGCTGCTTTGGTGACACCTTTGCTGTGGGTTTCCTCCAAAAAAGGGTATCTGTCAATATATCAAGCTCCTGCCTAGAGCAGAGCATAAAGTACAACTCCATGATCCTTCCTTCCTATCTTATTTTTTTCTGTGTACCTTTAAACATGTTACCCAGCACCTAATTATCTTCCTAATGAGCCAAAATATTGACGAAATTCACGCTAAGTACCAAAACCAAAATGCAGCAATTATACTGTTCTATGAGTCAGAGATAGTCTGACAATATACATTCATCTCCTCTGACAGGCTAATAGACAAAGAAGGGCATCAAGAAAACTACACAGTATCACCAGTAACAATACAGGAGGCTACATTTATAAAGGACTCGACTTCTTGGAACATGCCTAGTGGACAACCACTATAAAAAAAAAATCTGCTTGCACAAACATCCTTGGTATCTCTAGAATAACCTCAAACGTAAATCTAGAAGCACTGAAGCAAACGTGCTGGCAAATAACTTAACAGAGGGCATTCAGCAATATAATCAGAAAATAATGCACAGGTAAATGAAACTTGCACAAGTTCCATGTCTGAAAGAAAAATCAGAGGCCATGGTGACTTCAAGAAACAGCAAGATAAAAGTACAAGTTTAGTAAATTAATTTATACTAAGTAGATCAGAGCATAACTAGAAAAAAATCGTGTCAACAAACTACACATTTTGACTAAAATTCCTTGAAAGCTGAAATACCTTTTGCTAATCTCAATTAATGATGTGCACAAAGAACAGTGCAATAGCATGTCAATCACTTCCAAATTTCATACATCCTCAAAATTTGTTTTTTTACCGATTTTTACCGATTTCACCCTAGCTTTTTCAGACTTAAAGCAACAAGAAAAATCTTTATTAATACCTAGTAATAATCTAGCAAATGCAGATCTAATTTATCGAGATTAATAAGAACACGAATTTCCAAAAAACCTGTTAAGGATGCAGAAGATCCTATCAGTGGGTAGAAACAAAACCATAATAGCAAATCTCTCATTTTATTCTTGTCATAGCAACTACGAAGAGTGTTCAAGCATTCCTGCATTACAGAAGTTTAAACATGCTGTTACACAAGTGAAGAAGATAGGACACTGGTGGAAAAAGAAAATTAGAAACCCTAAAACCTCTTGAAATTTATTGCTTCTAAAATGTTGTAATCATTTTCTCCTTCAAGCTGAACATTTTTCTTGCATTTTTTATTACTCTTTTTTGCAATTCCTAAACTTGCAAGCTTGAATATTAAAACCATTCTAAAGACAAAGAGTACAACACTATTATTAAAAAAAGATTAAAGCATACTTGAAAGTATTCAATCAGTATTACACAGCTATCTCAAACATTTATGCTTTTTAATAGTCTAACTCAAAGACTTCCTCCTGTCCCATGCTTTTGAATAGCCCTATCACAAACCAAGACTTTTCTCCTGTTCTTATGAAATTTCCAGATGAGACTCTCTCTTAAGGTTCTCAGGTAACGTATATTTTTACTCTCATATTCATCACTTGTTCTCTTTCATCTCTAAGAATCTGTAGTATTAATTCCTTTCTGTAGAAAAAGTAACATTTGAGAATCCTTTCCATAAAAGGACCCTTCTAGCTGGCATAAACAAATAGAAGATTCCCTAAACCAAAGAAAACTATAGTAATACACAGGGTCAGAGAACATCCTTATGAGGTAAGGATTTTTGGCCTGAAAACAAGATAACTCAGGAGGATAATGACAGAACCAAAAATGGTATGATGTAGGGCACTATGGATCAACTGTTCAGTGTCTTTTCTAATATTAACAACTATAAGAAATCACATTAATATTAACAGAAGTTTCAAAACAAACAACAGAAGGCAGCTCTTCGTGTAACAAACAGCAGGTCAGCAGAACTTCTTACCAAAGAGAGTCATGGATGGAAAAACTGTTTGTATGTGTTCACAAGGAGACTGGACAAGCACTAATTAAAGAGATTCACCAAAAATAGCGTACAGGAACATTGCATAAAGTTCAAGAGATTCCCTGACCTCTAGAGAGTCAGAAGCTGAGAATGCTCAGGGGAAAATATTCTAAGTACCTGGCCTGTTCTTACTCTTCCCTGCATGCCCACTTACACACCCCAGGAGTCTCAATCCCTGACTGGCACCAGAACACCTTTCTCATATTCTTACTACAGTACATTTTTAATTTAGTATTTTAACCATCCTCAAGGAAAAGTGGGTGTTCAGAAAAGAAATCAAGGAAAATGTAATGCTGTTTCAATGTTGTTGATTTTACATGGCAGGAGACAAAAAGAACTTCACTGGTAGAGAGGAAAAACAGAACAAAATACCAAAATCTTCATTACTGATTAATTAAAGAGGGATCCAAAACTGCAAAACTTCCGGACTATTTTAAAAATCTCTGCTTCCTTTTTTGTTTCAGGACTACAAAGTCACAGGATTAAATAGACTGAAGGGGACCTCCTAGATGTCAAGTGCAACCTCTTGCTCAAGAGGCAGGATCAGAGGTGTTTGCTCGGGACCTTGTCCAGTCAAATCTGAGTATCTCCAAGGACGAGCATTCCAAAACCCCTCAGGAGGATTTCACAACCCTTACAGAAAAAGCTTTTTCTCTATCTAAAGAAGTTTCCCCTTGTTTTCAAGTTGTGTCTCTTGCTTCTCTTTCTTCTGCTCTGCAGCTCTAAGAAGAGTTCAACTTTGTCCTCTTCTATCTACTTCCATCGGATAACTAATCCCCCTTTATGCCTCCAAGGCTGAACAAACAGGCTCTCCCAAGGCTGTCTTCCTATGTCACGTGCTCCAGCTGTCTAAACATCTTCGTAGGTCTCCACTGAACTTGCATCAGTATGCCAATGCCCTTCATCCTGCGGAATCCAAAGTTGGCCATGGTACTCCAGACGCAGTCTCAAAATCTCAGAAGGATGGGAGTCATGGGACAAGAAAATCACTTCCCTTGTCCTGTTGGCTACACTTTTGCTGATAAAGCAGTAGGTTGCCTACATGGGCTGTGGAGTCTCCATCCTTGGAGATACTCAAAAGGATGTGGTCCTGGACAACCTGCTCCAGGTGACCCTGTTTGACTGGCAGGGTTGAGAAGATGACTTCAAGCACTGTGTGATACAATCCAGGACACAGTTGGCTATCTTTGTTGCAACCCTGTTCAACTTCACCAGGACACCCACGTCCTTTTCTCTAAAGGTGCTTTCTTGGCAGTTATCTTCCATTTCAGATGAAGTATTGGCTTTATCCTGTGTTCAAACTGGTATATCAACAGTAAGCAGAAATGACTATAAACAAAACCTGCAGTCAAGTTAGCTTCAGCTTCAAGTGTCCTTCAAAGATGGAATTAACTCAGAACCAAGCCACAAGAGAGAGTATCAAGCATTTTCCTTCTGGGTACCACTTGTGATAAATTCACATCTACAGCATCCTATGAAAACACATACACATCTGAGGACTGTAATTTTAAGAAAAATTTAAGTAAAAACACTACCAAATTAGTGCAGAAAATTGTATCCATTACTAATTACAAATAAGTTAAGCCAGAGGCA